GTGTCCAGGCTCACGTGATGGGCGGTGCTTAGCGTGGACGCTCCTCCCACATATTATTCCAATCAAACTGTTTGGACATAATATTAAGAAGGCCTCGAAACGAAGGACGATCACACTGCACCCCAAAAAACGCATACCGATTCCGTGTATGTAGGGTGGAGTGATCCCGCTGACTCGGGAAACGTGTTTGGTTCCTCGTAATCTTGACCTTAACAGAATTGGCCCTTGAGGGCTTGTGATGCCAGGCACGCTCCTTGACCGGCCTGTGGCGGATGAACCCAGATGACAATATTGGCGAGATCCCGGCAAGCCATGTTTGACGCGGGCGTGTAACACTACTCGGCCGTCCGAGTGTGCAGGCTGCTGGAGGCGACCGAGGCTATTCCTCTGTACCTGTTGCTCGTGGTGCTGTAAACCTGGCGTCCAGTTGGCATCATTCTAGTTCAGCGGATAGTATTCCCCACAGTTGATGCCTGACAGGGCCACAGGGGGGTTGGGGGGCTCGGGCCACAAATGCCATGACACAGCCACAATGTGTCTGGATGACTCTCGGCCACTTGCTAGCTCACCGCTATGCATATGATGAGACCACACGGATAGCTCCTCTCGGTACCCGAACCTAGGGCCCATGGACGTCAAGTCCTCTGTCATGTTCCTTGGCTGCAGAGATGGCAAAATATGACATATTGGTAACAGACCTGGCTTACCCTAATCAGGCTCTTCCCAGGCCTCCGAGACCAAAATACGGAGCGGACGCTAAGGGTCTGATGATGATTTTCAGAACTGTTCGGGGTTTTGGCCTGAGCTCACGCGTTGTTAAGAAAATCAGCATAGGTGATGCACGGCCATCACTGGACCACCGCTGTTTCCTACACTCTGCACTTGATATTCTTATGACACAGGCCACATGCTATGCAACAGACCACTAATCTTGAACCGAATTATGCGGAACACACCCGACCCCATCCTGCACAGCTGGTCGCAGGACTATAACGTCAGCTCCCTGCTCCTTGTGATCCCATCGTTCGGAGCTGGTGTGACACAGGCTGTCGGCTCTCTGTTTATTGTGGCCACACGCTTCAGAGTTGGTCATGGATGGACTGGCTAGTCTCTCTTTGCTGCTAATGATCACATCAGAAACAGCCTCCAGGGCAGCGGTGCATTCAAGGAGGGGGAGGGGCACGGAAACACGTGCTCCCCCATCAAACTGTGACACGTATCAACGGCTATATAAAGAAATGTCGACAATTAAAAATCCAGAATTGAATAGGCCTTCTGATCAAGGCAAGGGCTTAACATGCAATGCAATGCAATGCAAATAATGCAAGGTATTACAGGTGTTCTTGATCCAGCAAGGGGCCTGCCTATACAAAATAGGGCCTCCTGTACACGCCTCGCGATGCATAGAGGGGCTTGCTGATTCAGAGCAGAAGCCTTACGACTCACAAAGAGGCCCCTAAGTCCAGCAAATGGCTTCGGCATCCAAAAACAGGGCATTCTGATCCGGAACTGCGGCTATCTGACACGCAGGCCCGTAGCCCGGGGCGAATTAGATGTCCGTGCATCCCCTGGAATCTGGGGTGCACCCCCAGCCTCGTTCCGCGCAGTCCCTGTACTAAGGTATGCTGTGATGTACTGTACTGTATCTGTAAGGTAAAGGAGTTTCACAACAATCAGATGGAACGCTTCCTTGTGTTGAGGACGAAAAGGCGTTGGAGTCCGCACTTACCCCTTGCCAGGTTTGCTACCAACCTCAAACCCGGTATCATTTGTGGCAGTTATGTTTGAATAATTGCTGACGTTCTTGTGTTAACAGCCTTTTTTCCACCTCAGAATGTTTCTAAATTTCCTTGACAGCCAAGCGAATCTAAAGTGGCAGCGATGGAACGTTTCGCACTATGCACGTGCCTTGGAGACACGATCGACATTTTTTTTTAGGGACTAAGCGCCTTAACAAACCTATCAGCGCACATTTTGGGACACTTCCTTTCTCTTATGTTTTACTTTTTCAACAACTTTGAATACGGCTGCTCGACGATGGGAAGCTTTGCAGGCTGTATAAGCCCGTTCGTACCCATACAGAATGGGTGACAGGCTGCGTGTGCAAATGTGTTTAGAAAACTATGGGTGCGGACACGACGATGGGTGAGAAATTTATGATGTGCTAGGTAGAGGCCTCTGATAGCTGCTACACAAGTTTATTGTTCGTGACTTTTTTCGTCATCAATAACTTCATTCGCAGTACTTTTACAATCATCAATACAAAACAGCAAATTAAGGTGCAAGCGTGATACAGGCTTTTATTTCGCTTTTAAGACTAAGTTCAGGAGCCCTCAGCCCTCTAGAAACTCAATGTTCGCGTTAAGCAGTGCTTGTTGCGTGAGCACTGACCTCGCCGTCCGATGACACGATTTAGGGTCAATGCAGAATTTGGTGCCAAAAACTTTACGTAGCACATTACTCGGCATGGTAAGTCCTGCCGTATTACGTCACTTAAGCCCAGAAGCGGCCCAAGCAGGGTTGGGGGGGGGGGGGGGGCGGGCACAGGTGACAACTGCTCCCTACTTGCAACCGACAAGGGGAGTAAGAATACGTTTTTTAGCCCTCTCCCAATTTAAGGGAAGCCGATTTTTCGAAACTAAAGGTGTCGTAGCCATCTGTAGAGTACCAAATTTGAGATCAAGAAGGCCCCATAAGTGAGCTAGAGAGTGATAAATCTGGCTCAGAAGACCCTTTTCAACATCAAAAGGCCCGTTTTCAGGATCATGGGGCCATCTTCATGAATAAGAAGCCCATGGTCTAGACCAGGAGAATCAACGTTGCGGTAAAGAAGTCCCTTCGCTGGCACAGTTGGCCCCATTAGGAGCGCCCTGTTCTAGGCTAGAAGGCCTCCTCTATATTCAAGAGGCCCTATTTCTTAAACAGTAGGGCTTTTCCATGCATCAGATGGCCGCGGTTCCAGATCAGGAAACCTTGTCTTGGGATGAAGAAACCTTGACTAGATTTGGAGTTCCCTTCGTGGATTGAAAGTATCTTTTTCCGAATTAGAAGGCCCCTATGTGCATCACACCATTTTCTGGAACAGGGGACCTTCTGTTAGGTTAGCGAAACCCTTTCCTGGATATAAGGCCCACATTCTGTGTTTCTTATCTGCCTAAATTTATTTACTTGGGCATTACGGATCCAACAGTTGGATAAGGGAGCATGTGCCCTCGGTGCCCCTCCCCCTTGAATACGAAACTGTCCAGTATGCCCCCCATTAGGAGGGTCCATTTTATCCAGGAGGCCCCCGGAAAATCCTGCCATCATCTCGAAATCCGTGGCGTTGTCCCTGCCTGTACCTAAGCCCGGCTTCTTTCACATGGCGCAACCACCTTAGTCAGAAACAAACAAGAAGTGCATACAGTGACTGAAACCAAGCCAGCCACAGGGGAGTGAAACAGAAGACGGACTCTCAAACCACTTGAAGTATCGAGGATGACGGAAGCTTTCCTGAAACATTCACACAATTTAGAGCTTAGGTACGGTAACAAAGCAAAGGGGAAGATAACGTGGAGGTAAACCTGATAAAGGTTGTACAACGGGTGGAGGACTCCCCGAGAAGGGTAAGCCCATAGGTGCCCATGTGATATGGGTAACATGGTGGTTTGGAACAGATTTTAGGAATATCATGGACGCTGGTATGGGTAAGATGTCTAAGAAACATCTGATGAATTCTAAAAGAGATTCTTCATAAACTTCTTGAGAAACTTAAAATGCTGAATCTTGCGCTTGTAATAGGCATAATGATTTCCATTCACACCTCATTCGCAGCCACCAGCACCAAATGAAAAGTTTGGAAGTGGACGTTCCTGAAACGTTTCCACCAGTTATTATAAAATACCTGGAAAGCGCAGACGAGTGGGCAGCGGGTGGGCACAAATGGACAGGAATGGCTAAGGGCCGAGTATGCGCACAGCCCCCCATGGTTAACGAGTGGCTCGGGTTGAAGACATTTCACCCAAATTGAAGTGAAGGCCTCCAGCACGGGCACCATCCCAGTGGTAGCGGGTTAGTTTGGCAAGGGAAGTATAACCCGCGAAGTCCTCTACATCACAAGATCCTGAGCAGTACCACCTTCCCCTGTCCCTAAGATTTCCATATTTTTATTTCATTTTCATATTCAAATTCGCACATTATAATTAAGTCTTAGATAAGATAGAAGTAAAAGCTTTGTTTCTCGGAGTCAATTAGAAGAGTGGAGATATAGATGCAGGACATTTTGGCAATGTTCGTTTATCGAAACAAATGGCAAAAGTGAATATCAACTTCCGTTTTTGTTTCGATACAGGTATGCTGCTAAAATACCGACGCATCTATATCTCCATCCTCCTGTTTTATTTTCCGAGGAATAGTGCTATTACTACTGTCTTATCCATGTGCATAATGTTCCTTGCAATGCACTTAACAGCCTATATCATTTCTTGGTTTTTGGAATTTTGAATTTCAAGCGTGTGTACCGAATAATGCACTTGTCATATCTACGTGATCAGAGAGCTTCGTTTAGCCTGGTTGGGCATGCAGTTCTATGCAATTTTCTTGTCTGTTGCATGTCATAACACGACAAAGATTGCAGTCACTTTGTACTAAATTAACAACGACAGAAAAGTAGTCTGACAGATAACCAAAGGCAGTAACCATGGTCCGGGCGAGAACCATGCAAGCAAACGTAGTCCAATTCGGAATAGGACGCAACACCGCAGAACCGAAATAACTGCATAGCAACTAGTGTTTACCAACGACGAAAAGTGAAGTCCAAAAGTGAAGGCTCAACGCAAACGTCCCGTGTCATAGCGTGACCTGACCTAATCTGACCTTGTAAAATGTAGGTCTAGCTAGGGGGGAGCACCGCGGTTGCAAAGCTGTCAAATGGAGTAGTGATTATGAGCCCAGTATGTGCACAATCGATTTTCATCTACACACGCTTGGGGGCGTCATTTCGAGCCTTAAATAAAACGTGACACCTAACCTGATCTAGAGGTCAGCTAACAGAGGCATATCAGAGAAATGATTTGAAAGGAGGGGTGAATGATAGATTAATTTACATGACAGTGGAACCTGCATACAAATACGGTAAGTGGGTATGTCTTTTAGAGGTCAACGTATCTGATTTTAGTCACAGTTTTCGGAAGGCTTCAGGTTTTTAGCTTGATGCGCAACCCCTTAAAACCATGCTACATAGTCGATTTTGGTAGCGAGGGTTTCAAGAGGAATGAAATGGCGAGAAACGTTACGCCCACCTACCAATTTATACACTTTGTGCAGCACGTTGACGCGTTGCCATTATTCATGAATCAGGCTACATCCATTACGGCACAGAATGTTATCTGCACTAAGCAGCTGAAAAAGGAACCATTTTACCATTTCAGCATGTCATTATTTTACCTTCTTTTAGTCCTGTCCGCATCTATGTCCGCGTCTAGTATGTGCAATATGGTATTCGGAAGAGAAGGCAATTCCAAGGTTTTTCTTACGTATCTTTGTCCCGACTTTGCATTTCCTCTGTTCCCTCTCCCAGGTGGCCGAACTTGCTTTAGGTGCTAAAAATTCGTCAACGTAGTGTTGTTGTTAAGTTGGTTGCTGCCAGGAAAATTGCATCGTTTTTGCACAGAGTATCCATCTTTTTGTTGGTTTATTGGTGCACCACCTGGGAGCTTGGTCTGGCTACGGGCCTGATGATACGTGGAAGAGGCCTCCTGCTCCAGAAAATGGGTCTCTTGACAGGTAAAAGATGCCACCTAATCCAAATCATGGCTCTCCTAGTTAATAATCATGCCCTCCTAGGTAATAACGAGGGCCTCCTAGCTCATAAGGGGTCTCCTCGTTCTTAACAACGATCTCTTAGTTCCCCGGATCAGCACAGTGCCTCTTTCTCCTCTCCTCTTCTGATCAGATTATGGGTACCTCAATCATAAAGGCAATCTCTTTGTCCAGAAAACGGAACTCTTAATGCAGAAAAGAGCCTTCTAAGTCCACTTCAGTAACATGTAGCTCAGCTATGTATGAGCTTAATTTTGTTAATACACGTGATCTAAAAAGCATTTGTTTAGGCAAAAAGGTCCCTAAAAGCTTAAAGGGCAAAACCATACTCTTGCCTCGATGCCCCACCCCCTGCCCTGCTTCACCGCCCCGGGATGACATCCTCCACAGCTGACAGTGAATGAACTGGTCAGCCTCTCTCTGGCGCTCTTTATCGCGTCCTCCACAGCAGCTGTGGTAAAAGCTGGCCGGTCTTCATTGCCCATTATCAAATCCTCGACAGTAGCTGTAGTTCTGGCTGGCCGTCTTCAGTGTTCATCGTCACGTCCTCCACAGCTGGTGCGGCATGCCGGATAATCTCACGCTCTTTCTCCGGTGCTCGTGAGCGTAATTCACATCCTCCACAGCTTGTGCTCTATGGGTTTGGCGGTTTCTGGCGCCACGCGCTTTTGGTACTGGATCTCGGTGCTGTTGACGCAGTACGCAGACAGGTGTTCCAGAAATAGCACCACCAGGCTAAGCAAGATTCCTGCAATGTATAGCACGATGTTAATGAAACGAGGAATGGCGAACACAGGCACGTAACGAGGTCACGTGCTACCCTTACACTATACGGGTGCGTTTTACTTTAAGTTCCTCGACAAGTCCTAGAGCTTTTTTTTCGTAATTTCATACCACGTGATATGATTCTCTTCTGCGATCTGCCTGTAATTCATTGCCAATAAATACATATCTTACTGCGCTGCTAAATTTTCACAATTGTGCAATTGCATCGTCCGCTATAATGATGCAACAGCTGCTGCAGCGCAACACGGTAAATATGCACAACATCAAGCACGTCAGAACCACCTCAGCAGCGAGTAGATCCAGAAATGATCATGTTAGTAAAGCCACCGGACTATCAAAGGTCACACAGCGGGACAACCAGCAGACATCGATGATAATGGAACAGAGAAAGAGAGTGGCAAGAGAAAAGAGAGGTGGATAGAGAGGTCATCAAACGTCGCACAGCAAATGCTATCATTCTAGTGATACATGATATAGCATCGATATAGTACCGATACAGGATTCAGCACCGAGATCATCTGCATCGGGCATGCATGCCTAAAAAGGGGTTGACCTGCTTTGGTTTGGCTTCATTTGATTTGATTTGATTTGGCTTGATTTGGCTTGGTTTGGTTTCACTTGGTTTGGTTTGTTTGGGCTGGTTTAGGCTAGAGCCCTTTCGGCCAGCAACGACCATTTGAAGAGCTATGGGATAACAGACTAGTTACAGGGAATGTTTTACATTTGAAGATATTGAGGCAAGCATGATATATGGTGAGGTAAGCTCACTTCCATTGGTTTGCCTTCGAGTGTTAAATACCGCTCCAGACGAAAAGCTGCTTAATAAACACACTTCTCAGCAATTCATCATTTAAATACGTCATGGAACGTATTTATGACGTCATGCTGCGGCCAGATGAGTCGAGTCAGAATTACCACTGTAGCCGGCGAGCTGACCCCCTTGTATCTTAATTTCCCGAGAGGTGCCCTTCGCGGCGCTCGAGATATTTGCAACAATGGTTCTGTGCTCTCGTTTTGCCCCTTTCTCGTGGTGCCCTTGAATATTTGTCGGCGATTTAAAGCAAGTTTCGTGCATTCACGTACTCGATTATGACGCATATCTTGCGCTATCTTGCGTTATTCCATTGCTAGTCCTACTTTCGCCACAACCCAAACCACTACCCAACTTGTTGCATTATATATAGCAGGAGACGTGAGTCGCGTTTGAGGCTTTCCTGAATGCATGAAACAGGTTGAAGGCCAAGTATAGTCCGTGGATGCCAGAAATTATGCTGACGAACTTCAGAGACAGACTATTCTATTGCGAAATTTTTGTTTATTGATCTTGAGTATTGCATGGTGAATGGGATTGCAGAAATTGCGTGACGTGTGTATGGCTTCATGCATGCCTGTGTGACCTTGACATAATCTGTACGAAATAGTCTGCACAAGTTCGCGGTGTCTAGCTCAGAAGTCATAGGTTCTTAGATCTAAGAAATGTGAAGAGCGCTGAATGATCTTTAAAATACCTATCTCATTTCAAGACCCCATGCAAATGTGGAACACGCCTTGTGATGGTAAGGCAACATGCACCTGAAGGTCCTCCACCAAGACTTATACCGCGTACCTGTACGGGCTTTGTGCCCGGCGCTCGGAGGGGCCCTCACCAGGAGGTGCTTAAGCCTTCCCATGGCTGGCACATGTAGCTTTCCCAGGATAAACGGGATATTTGGGCGAAGGAGCATGAGGCGAGATGAGGACAGGAGGCCAGATGAACCAGCGAGGATCCCGGGTAACGAATCATACTGAGTTAATTTGACGTCATATGGAGATCTACCAGCTTGCTGCTAAATCCCCAACGCCATTGGTTGTATGCAAGAAGGCCACTGTGGCTCTCAAACGACACTACTGTCTTGGCAAGCAGGGTGCAGCTTTGCAAATTTGAAAACACGCGATCCCCCGCCCCGACTTTTCAAGATGGCGCTAACTGCTTGTCATCGACTTGACCTGTTCGGTTTCTGTTTTACCACGTTTCACAATTACGTTGAGATTCATGTCTACCTGGACGGGGGCAGTGTGTGGCTGTCAAAGATTGGCACTCATTCTGGATTTCTGTTGCACGGGCACATCCGAGGGAAGTTTGATCTCGCTCTGCGTGTCTTATCAACATGTGCCCGGATGGGTGGTAGAATACCACACCTTCGGGTGTGGACTGATGTCCCATAATACCGCAAAAATAAGCTAGCCGGAGAAACCAAAGTCACAGGGTGGGTTGGTGCCTGTATGTGAGCTCGCTCATGTCAAAATGTGAAGTGATCTTCGGATCAAAGGAGATTAAGCAAGGTCAAGCTCCAGGTTGGTGTCCAAAGTTCCTCAGATCTCCTCATGCAACCGCCAACCGCCAACCGCCAACCTATATACCTTTACTTTACGTTTCTAAGTAAAGGGTCACTGGTTTCACTGCTCAAATCTGTTGCGGTCCCTGCGATCAAATTCGGAATGGCCATCAGAAACTGTACCGCGCAGCGAGCTCTTCAGCAAAAAAAGCAGGTTGGTTTTGGCCTCGGTCTGACCTTCATACCTCACCCAAGGTCAGCGGAATTTGTCGTAATCCTATATTGTATTGTGTAACTGTCTAAGAAACTATATCAGAGACGAATGATTTCACCAAACACTTAGTTGTCGCATCAGATTAAATGACTCACTAGAAATTGGCCTCGCGGACAGCCACGACCTGACTTTGCCCTGCCATAAGCCATCCACCTTACTAGGTACCTCGAATTTGTTTCATGCCGGAAGATCTTCTATGCAACCGTTATGCGAATTTTGGCGCGGCTACGCCACGCGGCTGGAAAAACGCTTGGGCGAGGGCGGGCAAATTAATCCTGCTACCCGAGTGCGTGTTATTAACTCACTTTACAAATTGTCTTCTGCTAGTGAATGACGTTATCATACCAGTACAACGAAACATTAACGATGTAGTAAGCGCGCCTGTACTTTCTAGCACAATCTGGACCAGTTGCGCAGATGATCTGAAGCTGACAGACAAGTATTCAACATCCTAAATTGTAACCAGCATCGGTAAAATCGTTATGTTGACCACTGACAACAAAGCGTAATCATAACCAAAAGAGTATATTGCGCTGTTCTCCGACGATGGATGTCTACCGAATAGCAGAGTGATGCTGTGAAACATCCTTTAAGCTGTAACGACTGTACGTGACCTAGACTATTGTTAAGCAAGCTCCCGCCTGGAGTTGAGTAGGTGCTATCATATGCGATGCAAACTGGGCTGTATGGGTCTCGGCAATATGTTTTGGAGCGGGCGAGAACGGCAGACATAGTATGAACATAGATAAACGTCTATTCTGACCACTTCTGCACCAAATTACGATCAGCTTTCAAGCACCACGGAATTAAGGTTGGGAAAGTAAAACACGATATAAAAAAGAGTTAGAACTCAGCACAAATTTACAATATGGCTACGCGGCGTACTTCCGGCTCTCCTACCTTTCCTTTCAGCACAAGCCCGCCGTCGAAGCGGACACTCTGGCACCCAGGCGCAAACAGCATCCTTAATGTCCATTCAGAACGTCCTCAATCAAATCAGACACAGCCATTTCCCCCATTGTTTCCAATTGGCCGTCCCTCCCCGGAAACTACGTGCAAAGTTCTTGTTTCGTTGGTCTTCCAAGAGCGTGATTCCAGCACGGAGGTGTCGTCCGTTCTTTTTTTTACTGCAACGATCGCATGAAGTTTTAGAGCGGAGACACACTACAGCTGTTTTCACACTAGCGTAATTTAACTGTGAACTAACTTGGTACTTGATCTGAAACGCATGGAAAATGATAAAACTGGGTGTAAAACCCATTGTTTGTCGTTAAACTTAATTAACACGGTGACATTGCCTCGGAAGCATTTTTGTTTTGCCGCGTATCAGTTCGTCATCGTACGTTTGGAGATCGTGTCGAGTGCCGAAAACTTGAAGTACAAAATAGATACGTGAAGACAGTATATTTATCTGTAGCAAATATTAGGTCTTTTGAAAGCTCTGCCAACAAGCCATGAACTTCCCTCTGCTTATCCCATTTTTGCGCACATCAAATTCAATGCCAAATTAGATCCGTCTCATGATCTTAGCGTGAAAACGGTATTTACGTCTTTGGCTTCACTATGCTAACTCATGTCATCTTCTCCGCAGTTTGAAAAAAATCCGTTAGTGCTACACTGCTACCGAGCGTGTTGCCAGTGTTCAACGTCTGTGTTATGCTGGCGGAATATCACATTATTATGTTCACCTATCCGTCAGACCAGATGTAACTAAACCCAACTGAGTCAGGCATGGTGTCACACAGGCAGGGACCACGAAGAAGCAGTGAGTGCTGTCGAGGAGAATCATGTAGAAAATAGTAACGAGATAATCGAACAGACAATACCGATTTACCAGCTGGCATCATGACGAGAATGGCGCCAATGTCGTCAAACGCCAGCGGCCGAACGCCGGAGGGCGAGCCACACTTCTGGTTGGTGACATTCCAGAACCACCGGTTGTACAGGCCATCAATAGCGCCGCTCTGGTACAAGCCCTGCATGCTGAAACAGCCAATGTGCACACGGAAGCAAGCTTATTGGCCCCTGACGCGGCGCCGATGGGCCATGACCTAGTCAATGGCTGTGCTGTTCTGTGCACGACGGGTGTTATTAAAAGCGTGGTACCAAAACACTGGACACAATTGCACTTAGCCATGGTATCCCTATGCATGCATACATACATACGTACATATACATACACACACACACACACACACACACACACACACACACACACATATATATATATATATATATATATATATATATATATATATATATATATCAACGTGTCATGTCAATAATGCTGTTTGAGATGTCACCATGAGATGTCACCGTTTACCATGGAACATCTGTACGGGTGCTCCCCACGCTTGAGCGACCAGGGCGCGTGCCGACACACGAGCTACCGGTCCGTCCACCGCAGTAAGCCGTATAAACAAACAGAAGCCATCTGCTCTGTTATCACTTACACGTGGTCTATCTCCGGCTTGAGCTTCATGTGTTTTTGCATGACGAGAAAAGCAGGCTTGCCGACGTTGCCGCCCAGCGTGGAGAGCTGACCAGATCCATGTGTCGGCTCCAATGGCAAGGGGACCAGCCTGCAGGCTCTTGCGCCCATGCTGATAAACGCCTGTTGGTAACCACCAGTGAACATCATTATATCCTATTTCCGCGATGCCTTCGGTGCAGTTGAAGGCTGTTTGTAAACCCGTGGGGTTACCTCTGCTTATTTATCAATGCACCGCTTCGTTCTCCAGCATGAAAAAAAAACAAGCAACTTATATTGCCGGCAACTGCTATAGCGGTTGGGTTCATGCCTTATGGCACCAACCACCAGTTGAAAAGATGCGTAATTCTGGCGAATGCTTGTGAGAATAGCACTCTTTAATCATATTTCTGTACTTCTGTACCCATGAAATGGTACATACCTACTTCTGTATTTATGTACGCATGACAAAGAAGCAAATCGGAATGCGGGCTCAATCACCCCATCCCCTTTCATGTTGCGAGAGCCACCTGAACGATTCCCTCTCGGAAAACGACGTTTCATTGCTTGCGACACAAACCACATTTCTGTAGAGAGAAATTCTGAAATTTTGTCATGGGTGAATACACGAAGCAAAAACCAATCAAGTGTGCTTTTGTACTGCGGGAACATTGTTTTAATGTTTATATTTTGGTGTCGTCGGTATCCAATGGTATGGGGTCTCATAGCACGTGCCAGAGATTCTGTTCAATTGCAATCAATGGGTTCCAGGTGCCACAGTGAAACGATACTGATCTAAAAGCCTATAATACCTATGGTATTTTACCGTTTTAATTTTTCTTGCGACTGCTCGGTCTCATAATTCGGGTAGGAAATAAGCGAATTTTTAACAAGCGAAATCTGAATTTTTGCAGTGGCGTATTCGGGCTATTCGGGGCAGGGGATGGGTATTGGGATATACTCTTGTTGACAGCCGGAGTCCCTCTTTTACGCCGTGTGCTACTGAGTAGCAGGGTCTTGCCCGCGCCCTCTTCACCTAGAGACCAATATGGCCCCGCCCTCCAGGTTGACTGACGTCTTAAAAGGTGATTGGTGAAGTGGTAAAGTGGTGAAAAGGATGAAGGCGCCCTCGGTGAATTGCGCAAATACTGGGATCTGGCATTCAACTTGCCCACAATTCATCGATTTTGCCCCATGTACTTGGCCTGCCAGATAATACAATGTCCATTTGTGTCCCGAGGAAAACCGTTTGGGGTGGATTTTCCTCCCCCACCAACGTGGTGGACGACGCTGCAACGCTCTACCTACAACGCTACAACGCTCGCCGACCGACTGTCGGCCGAGAGACCGCGCCGGCGCCCTTTGCGTTTGTTAGCACTACCGCACGTTACCGCAACAGGCTGGCACTGGATCCAGTATCCGCCTGCATCCGCACTGCAGGATAGGTGGATTCGCTCGTATAGGTGGAGCCAGCTATCGCGGACTCGGCTCTGGTCAATACAGGCTGTTTGACAAAACGCACTGTATGAAATACGTTTAAAGGCCTGATTTATCAGGGGTTTTTATTCAAAAGTATCCTGCCCATTTTCACCAACCTGAAGCCAACCGTCATTTCCAGGTATATCTAGCATTGCTCGTATACCATCAGCGCTATAAACTTAGCACCTATGACGACCAAAACAACAATCTCACATGAGTCCACGTGTGCACCAATAAATGAAAAGATGACCTAACGTGCCATCCAAAAACGTGTCCTAGATCAGTCCATGATTAAGATTAATTGTGAATGTCTGACACAATGTGAAATAAATGCAGCGTTGGAAAAGGTTACAAATTTCAAGGTGATCGATCTGGATTGGTGAGAATGTTAAAAGAAGAAATCGAAGGAGGAGCGGCGATTAAGTTCTCCCTCACACAAAAAAGGTTAACTATGATAAAACCTCCAACACTGCACCGAACATTCCTATAAACGCATCATGTTCGGTTGCTTGCCTGCTCGAGATTAAAAGAGGTGACTGTGTTCGGTTCAAACATCTGTCCCATCGTCTCTGGGGTCAGAGTCTTGACGTTCCTCCCGGCGTGAATGCGCTCGGAGAGTATCCTCAGCGAGTCCTCCTTGCTCGTCTGAAAACGAGTGGTTGGTCGCAACACAAATCCTGTTTTGTGACGGGGCGGGCCGGCTCGTCACAAAGGGCAGCACTGTCAAGGCTGGATAGGGGTTTCGTTTGGTGTCCATAGACTGAAATTAGCTTGTGTGAAACGGATTTATTAAAAAGCAGCAGAAGCGTTCGAGTGCAAATGTCTTATTCAGCGTGATTTTTCCAACAAGATTTCCCAACAATATCACAACTCGTTACATTTTCTCCGAGCCAGGCGTCATCCGCGTGCCAAATATGTGAACTTAGTCTTTCACGTGAATCGACATGATCGTGATTGTCGTACAGAGTGGCCACTTGTATAAGCAGTAGGCACCGACCTTCCAGTCACTGACGTAGGCCACGCCCGGCTGGATGAGCAGTGACCAGTCGCTCCTAGCGACAAAGTCCTTCACAGAGTTGACCTCTGTGCTCGTCTTCAGCACGGTCATCACCGAGATCAGCACCGCCGTGTACTCGACGTAGATCATGGTACCCAGCAGACGCGTGACCAGCGTCACGATACGGGAAGAGATACGACAAGGGGTGGTGGACCAGCCCTGTGAACAGCACAGCATACCCCGTTATCAAAGCCTGAGGGAGCGCCGCTGGAATGCCTCGTTATGGAAGGTTGAGGGGGCGCCAATGGGTGCCCCGTTATCGAAGGCTGAGGGGGCGCCACTGGGGCGTCCCGTCATCAAAGGTTAAGGGGCACCACTGCGGTGCCCCGTTATCGAAGGCTGAAGGGGCACCGCTGGAGTGCTCCGTTATAAAAAGTTGAGGGGGAGCCGTTGGAGTGCCCCGTTATCGAGGGTTGAGGGGGCGCCGATGGAGTGGGGGCGCCGCTGGAGTGCCCCGTTATCGAAGGTTGAAGACGTGCCGCTGAAGTACGTCATTCCGCGCCGTTGCACGAGATGTCCCCGCAGTCAAGACATGCTCTGATGGTCCACGTTAACACCGACATATTCGCGAAAGGCGAGTCCGGTGTCTTCTTTCAAGTCCGGTCCTATCCCTTCGAAAAGATGCTTCCCACCTGCGACAGGTAATATTGATATGGAGTCGCGAAGCTAAACCAGCCGCTCTCATGGATGTACAGTCCCGAATTTTGTATTGTCCAATACTCTGCCAACTGAGCTGTCCCCGTGGTTCCGTACTGGGACATGTCAGTAGTTTTTACTAGCGTGTGACAGGTGCGGGGACGAAGGGCGAGAAACCGCGCTGACGTGACCCGCACTTGACGAGCATGTAGTGACAGTTGGCCAACAGAGACAGACTGAAACAAGGTGGTCCTTCCTAAGCGTTCCATGGCACGCTAAAATCTCTCCGTAAAACAGTTTGTCGAATCGCAAGACGTAAATCCACATGATCTGCAGCGCTAGTGCAGGTGTTCAGCGCGCTACCAACCGATCTTCCGGGCGGCAAAGGAAAAGCACGCAGACCCTTGAAACTACTTTTTTACCAAGGCGTCGCCCCACACATCGTCGTGCTCACTGCCCACTCCACAGAGCGCGTACAAGCTGACCTGTTGCACTATGCAGGCGTATATGTGCAGCAGGCTGGAGACAATGCCGAATGTCTGATCGTCCTCTTGGCTCTGAGGTCGGGTCAAGGTCACGGTGACTCGTAGCAGAACGGTGGCCAGCAGCATCCCGCACACTGGGAAGACACGGACAGTGGGCGCGGCGTATGGCTGGACCAGGCGCATCGCGACGCTGCGCGGTTTGACACGGCGGGCAGACGCGTACAATGGTGGCAATGGTCCGGGATGCATGTTGGTCCAGGACCCATAACGGGACTACCAATTGGGTGGAATCTCAGACAGACGGGAGGACAACCACGAACGCATGACGCATGAGACACCACGCGGCATGCGTGACTGCATCTCATGACATACACCACATGACAGCTTAACACCAGCCCACGCGACTCATTTCAGGCATCACCTCACACACAGGCAAGTTTCACAGGTAGTGCGAATTAAAACGAGCACAAGTATCGTCGGTTGAGTAAAGCGATTCTCTTCAACCCACGATACGTAAACGTGATATGCTAACAAAAGAGAATTGTCATATGAAAACCGTGCCGCATTTGCGATTCAGCAGACAATACCGATTCCCTACTCGATACTCAGCGTAGCAGGTATGTTCGGTTGGTCTTTAAGACCGATACTCAGCGTAGCAGGTATGTTCGGTTAGTCTTTAAGACCGATACTCAGCGTAGCCGGAATGTTCGGTTGGTCCTTAAGACCGATACTCAGCGTAGCAGGTATGTTTGGTTGGTCTTTAAGACCGATACTCAGCGTAGCAGGTATGTTCGGTTGGTCTTTAAGATCGGGTTTAAGAGGCCGTCGGTTCACAGCGAGCATCAGGGCGACCACGGTCCACGGATGGTCCGCCCGAACGAGTTTCAGCTGGCTGTGTGATCGTTGGGGCAACCAGAAAAATAACTGCAATTTGTTCTACTTGCAATTTCCGACGAAAATATCGCAAGAAATGACATGCAGCGGGATAAATATCAAATTCGCTGATGGGAAATGTATAATGCTGACACAGTTCAGAACAGGTTATCAGATTCTTCAACCCCGGCCGGTGGAAACAAGCGTATCAACTTCCAGCGCATTCAAGCAAGATAAATGCGGTAGTTCCCATCGATTAACTTCAACTACAATGCCTGTAGTCGTTAAACGCTGGGCTGCCATCAGTGCATCGATCAATCTCCTGCAGCCTACGGACTCAGCGATACGGCGTTGCTGCAAGACCCGCTGCCGGACTGCCAAAATCGGACATGGTTATTTACTCTCGCCCAATGAGGGGATGGGGGGGGGGGGAGTTCTTGCGGCGAGGGGCTGACCCCGAAATTTTCTTATGCAACTTGCCTATAACTTGCCTATAACTTGCCTACGATGGAGGACATGATGCTGGTTTCGCAGGAACTGAGTTTATGATATTATTATCCATTCAGTCACTTTATAGCACTTTTCTTCTAACTGGTGGTGACCTATAACCGATTTGTGAGGGTTAAGCCAGTCGGGTTTCTTGCCAAATCCACGATACAGCTCACTTGCTGGCAAATAAGACATGTTACTTCTCTGTTTTGATGTAGGTCAAGGGGATGGGGTCCTGCGCAACTGAGACTTGCCGCACACAGGGGCCCCCGTCAGTGTGTGCACATGCTTGGGCTGGGCTCCCACCAAGGGGGTAGGGGGGCACCTTAGCCAGCTTCTGGCTAATATACGTACTTATTACGGATAAACGGGGCGTCACGGATGTTGGGAACGAAGCATAAAGGTTGAAATAAAGCAAATTTGGCATATACAGGGCACCACAAGAACGACAGGGCACCGCGCTAGTGAAGGTGAGGCTCTCGCCCTGGCAGAATTTAAAGTGATGGATCACTGCACCGGTTCTAGCGACGCCAGCCACCCAAGCTGCGACAGTAAGGACGACCACGGAGCTTGAGGCGGGGTCTGCCGTCGTGACGGCTCGGATGAGGTCGCGAGCTGCGCTGGAGCTGTTGGCACCGGTCGCTGCGTCGATACAATAAGGCAGGCCGCTGCGCTAGTTCGGGACTGGTCGCTGCGCTGGTTCTGATGGAATCTGTCGTTACCCTGACTGGCTCTGATGGCAGTGGCCGTCACGTGACGCCCGGCGCGGGATCGGATTCTCAGTGCGGTGTAACAGGACCCGGCCCCTGCGCAGGCTCCGATGAGCCCGACCAGTGTGGACCGGATCAGTTGTGGTCACCACTTTTTAAATTTTCTTGTAACGTCACTAGCCACCTCAACAGATTTTCTTTAAAATGGTCCCTGACCACCGCAGATGCCGCGGCAGGTCTCAGATCTGGGTGCAAATTGCTGACACTGCCAGCATCACCTTCAGCTGTTACCTCAGTTGACGAAACCCACTTGTTTTGTTCTCACGGATGGCGGCCGTGAATGGTTTGCATGTACATACGATTACAGGGGCATTTCTATATGCGCACAGATGTGCTCACCAAGGCAGATCCAAACGTTCGTGTCGAAGGGCGTTAGAAGAGAGCCGATGTTGTTCATGTTGGCCCGAGGCCGACCTGGCACCAGGAAATGCGTTCTCTCAATGAGAATGGGCACCTTGCCCACGAAATCCACCACCCGCTGTCTTTCGAGAGTCCACATCATTGGGGCCAGGCCCACGTGCGCGCTCTGAGGAGAGAGGCGTCACGTGTGAATCGTCATTGAACGGATTGATGCGTGATGTCAACTCTCCGACTGATTAAACAAATGGCGTGCCTGATGATAGATCCGCTGTCAGAAGCAAAGCCCGGTGACGCTGCGGAAGCTATGCTGTACTCTAGGCCTGAAGCAAGCCAACCCTCCCCCCCCCCCCCCCACTGCTGAATTCCATCACTGAAACACGCATTGCAGACAAGTATATCGTTCTGATCGCCTCACTCCTTTGGCGCAACACCTGGGGCTCCTCTACCGCTTCCGGCAATGACTGCAGGAGTAACCGACTTTTTAACACGAGCACGTGCAATTCTGTGCAGTCATCACGGTCGTTTAAACCGCGGAGTGTTATCACGGTAAAATAAAATAACTTAGGTAAACCACACTATCATATTATACCGTTCAGTGCGTCACGATGCAATGTGGCTGGCTGCGTCTAATTATCCTTACATCCATGTGCATGACTTATGTGCTTTCCAAATCTCCTCGCATTGCTCTGTTGATCGCATCCTTTCACAGAGTATTAACATCAAATGATCACACGCGCGAGGCCCTAGGGGTCGTGGCGAGTCGCGAATTGATTTTTGGTGGCTAAAAATTACCCTTGGAGGCATATGCCGGTACACCTCAACTTGTTATGCGTTTACTCTGGAGATATATGTAAAGATGCAAAGCTCTGCACAGAGATAAAAAAGACAGTCTGACAGCGGCTGACCGGCCTGGTGATCAGCAACACGGGAGGCCGCAACCTCACCTGAGTAAAAGTCATAGATCAGTCCACGGGTTACCACCTCTGTTTTGAATTTTTGTTCCGCCATGTAGCATGCCGACCTTTTCTGACCGCGCTAATGGTGTGTCTCTCTCATTTGTAGGCTTCGAGTTGTGTTGCTGAATGGAACGGTATATTTTCCATTGGGTTGGGACTTTGCGTTGAGCTTGGCGTTCGATGCTCTGAAATTACTATCAAAATAGTGTAATAGCCATCAATCTGAGGATTTTAACCAATGAAATGCAGCAAGATAGTGTGTTAAGCACACAAGCTGTTGGAGCCAAGACACTTGAGTGGAATATAACCAATTCGGGGACAACAGGAAAATGATTAAAATATACCTGTTCAGCCATATAACTGAACAACAAGAGCATTATGCCAGAGCAGATGCGGCAATAGACGGTTTCTCATCACGCACAGCCTCATTTTGTGGGAGAAAGCCCTGCATCTAAGACAACTGGCCTTGCTGACGAGTCTGCCGACGAGGCCGGTGAATGTGCCGTCCTCTCGCCGTATGCCGAAGTCGCCCGGAGTGTTGTTGGTGTCGTACACCACCGACACGCCGATCGTCGCGGCCAGCACTTGCATCAGGTCAGCCAGGTAGCCGGTCACATGGTTCGGCCGAGCCGGGTCCACCAGCGTGAACGGTGGGTCCTGTCGGGGCGGAGGTGGTCAGGTGGGGTGGGTCCACCAGCATATATGGCGGGTCCTGTCAGAGGGGGGAGGCGGTCAGTTGGGTGGGCCCACCAGCGTAAACGGCGGGCTCTGTCGGGGCAGAGGCGGTCAGTTGGGGTGTGTCTACTAGCGTAAACAGCGGGCTCTGTTGGAGCGGAGGTGGTCAGGTAGGGTGGGTCTGCCAGCGCATATGACAGGTCCTGTCAGAGAGGGGAGGCCGTCAGTTGGGTGTGTCCGCCAGCTTAAACGGCAGGCTCTGTCGGGGCGGAGATTCTCACTGATCAGGGGAGCACTAGCGGTGGTTTCTACCAGAACGAGGACAGTTAAGAATGGCGAGTCCACCACCATGCACGATGAGCTGTGGAAAACGAGCGATGGTCAGGATGGGTCGGGTCAACCAGTGCTCACGGAGGGCCCTGCCAGAGGGAGGTGGTCTGAACTTTCCTGACATCAGCCACGTCCCCGCATGTTTCGGCGGCGCGTCGCACCACTACTCACGTGGAACGTGGCCACAACCAGTGTGTCGGTGTGGCCGGTGGTGTTGGCCCACCGCCCCATCTGGTGCATGTCTGGGTCCGCCGTGGCGTGTTCGCTCACGAGTCCGGACCGCTGTCGGACCCGGTCCTGGCCCCGGTCTTCCGTCCGGCTCCAATGCCGGCTCGTTCACGGGAATGACATCGGCTGCCGGAGGACATGTTGGAGAAGGTGAATCGCACGAAGTACCTGGCTGAGTGGCTAAGGCCTCCGATATTTTAGGCATTTCCCAAACTACAGGCGCAGACTACAGTTCAGCTCCGTGACACGTTTCACGCTTGGTGATCTGTCCATCGTTGAACCCATTAACGCCCGGGGACTCATTTGAGGGCAATCAAAGTACCAGCCTCTTACGTCTGGTCGATTTTTTGTCGAGCTTGGTGTCGATGTCTATAATTTGTGCGGACCCTGTAACCTCATCCCCTAATGTTGACTTGGGGCTACCGAATGTTGTTTGGGACGGCGCCAAATTTTACTGGAATTTTACCACCTTGAGGACTATGTTGAACATTACACAAGGGCGCTTATTGTGCATTACCTGATGCTACAACCAGGGGCATGGATTTCGATGGATTGGGATACAAAACAACGGGCAAGTTCCGCAAAAGTCGCGATTTATTCAGTGACTTACTCTGCGATGAGTTCCATTTGCTCTGAAGACACGTCAGATGGTCAATAACGGCACGATAACATAAAACATGACGATTATTTTGCAATGCTATGTTATTTTTAAGTTAAAGCTAGATGAAAGGACGGGGAACTCCATATTACCAAATAATTACCCGTCAATCGAAATTTTCAACGATCAGAATATTCACCACCACCAACTAATATTTGACAAAATCTCCTGACGCCTCAAAGACCTTAAGGTCCCCTTTCAAGCTAAAATTCAGTCTTAAAGAACGGGGAACTACCGATCATAAAAACAGAATCCGACCGATTTCAAGTTCGAAAGCATCATATTGTTCGGAAGCGCGAGAACTAGCGTCAGCCAAAAAGCCCTGAAACCTTGAGATCATCTCTTAGGTCAAATTTAGGCTCAAGTGACGGGCAACTCCAATGAATGGGCCCGGTGGCGGTCCAGGATTTCGTCAAGGGGAGACGCAGCATTCTGGGGCCCTGGAAGTGTAGGATCTCCCTTACCTTTATCTCCCTGGGAACCCATCTTCCTGTGTGGAACCCTACGGAAAGTAAGCGTGCTACGTATGTACATTCATGAAGCATGTTCATTTTCTCCAGATCAAGGTGAATCCTGTCATTTTTAGGCGAAGTATTTTGGTGAATGCGTGGTACATTGAACAAAAGTTGGGTGCTAGATACCATCAAAATCAAGCACGGCACTTGATTCTTAGGCCATTTACGGCTAGCTCGCTAGTCGATGTGATCAGCTGATAGCTAATCAATCTATGCAAAGTTTTTGCTTTGACTGCTATGAAGTAGCTTTGCACGATTTTCGACTCAACAAAACATCCTATCATTTACGACGTGTAAAGATCGTGATGCACGAGTATAAAAGTGAAAGTTGTTCAGTGCATTAGCGAGGAACATTATTCACATAGATAAGACAGTAGTATTAACCTTATTCCTCGGAAAAAACAGGAGAATAGAGATATAATTAGGTTGATATTTTGGCAACATGCCTTTATCGAAATAATAGCAAAAGTCTGCTATTGTTTCGACATTTCATCCCAGCCAACTTCTGCTATTGTTTCGATAAAGGCGTGTTGCCGAAATAGCAACGTAACAATATCCCCAGTCTGCTGTTTTTTCTAAGGAATAAGACTAATTCTACCGTCTTGTGCATACAAGTGTTGCAGGTTCAATAACCAATGGATATGATGTATGCCATGTCGACAGCGCGTACAATTTTACTCAATCATTACAGGTAAAAGTTCATCGGTGCATATCCCATTGCTGGCCTAAGGCTTAGGCTCTAAGGGTCATCGTGTAGATCTTAGACTTGTGTACATGAAGTGATTTAGCCAGGTCCACGCGAGGAACATTATTGGGCAAGCAAAACGCAGGCACATGTGGGGCTTTTGGCAGCATGGAAAAATCTTTCGAACTTTATTGGAAGAGCCGACGACTTATAAGGAGGACCCCAGAGCGATCAAAGAGTGCCCCGGCCGATTGAAATTTGGGTCCCCGTCAACAGCGTGGGCCTTCCGATAAAATGGAAAAGCTTAAGAACAGGTGGGGACGTCACCTGAGCGATCGAGGTTGCTGCGGCGGGACCACAAGGGGGGTTCTTTCAAGAGTGTAGGGTTCTCAGAGCAAGCGAAAAGAACCCAAGACCAGTATGGTTGACCGTCCATCGATCGGGAGTGCACCGGCGGATAAACATTAAGATATAGAGCACCTGAACGAAAGGGAATAACCCAGTGCCAGTGCACTTGAATGATTTGAACGATCGGGTGTGCCTTGGCAGATAGCAAACAAGAGTGGAGGGCCCTCCACAGTGAGATCAAAGGGAGATAACCGCAGACAAAGATCAGTGTAGAGAGCCTCTGGACATTGCGTGTCCCAATGCATTAACTTACATGGGGCCCAGCAGCAGCGCAGGGCCCTCCAAGCACGTGGAAAGAGCCCGAGACCGATGCGAAGGGCCCCTGGGTCGCCGAGTGTATCCCGTCATATGGGGCCCCAGCAATAACGTATAAGAATCCGTGAATGTGATCAATCAAGAGTGCCCCCGGCATGTTAGCGGATCGTACCCCAAGAGCAACGTAGTGCCCTTCAAGAAAATGCAAGATAAAGGGCGGCGTGGAAGGCTCATTAGTGATCGGATTGACCCGGTAAATAGACATAAAGGGCCCCCGGTAACAGCATAGGGCCTCTTGACAGTGTAATGAGCTTAAGAATCCCCCTAATCACCACCCTCTCGAACAGCGCATAATTTTTTGGGTCTGCTCACGGGACCCTCACTTTTGTTTGCAACTGTTGGTGATCGTCTGGTGTTGAAAACTGCGTCCGTTCGGCCGGTTAGGGCCCGTTCGGAACCAATGAAGCACTTCGGGGCCGAAGGGGAAGGCATAGCCCCGTGCCCCTCTCCCCCCTCTCTGGATTTGATACTAGCCCGAGCAGATTAAACAGATGACCCCCCGAAAAGAAGGAAGTGCCCGCCAAGCAAATTCAAAGCATCTAAGATCTGACGCAGGGGGTCCTTGAACAAACGAGGGCGCCTGAACGAGTTAACAGATGGGCCCCTGACAAGAGTGTAGAGTCCTCCGCAAGTGAAAGATATTTGGAAGGGCCCTAGGCCAATGTATATGGCCCAGGCCTAGGCCGACGAGCATATCGCGGGTGTACTGGTAGGTTAACCGACACCTATGTGAAGGGCCAATGAACTAACCGGAGCATCCTGGCAGGTCAGCTTATCGGGCCCCCGACATATAGACTTTGGGTCTTTCGGTCGAATGAGAAGAATCAATGGGGGCCCTTGATCGACAACAGTGCCCCGGCATGCCAGCATATAGGGACCCAGCTGCAGCGTAGAGCCCTCCGAGCAAATGCAAAGAAGCGTTAATGGGAAACGCCTGGAAACGCCCGGCCCCTTAGCGATCGGGTTGTCCCTGCAAATGGAAATGTGGGCTCTAGACAACAGCGTAGGGCTTCGAGGCAGATGGACCATCTCGGAAGCTATTCTGGATCTTTCCGGGGTCCAAGCGGAGGGCCACTGCCCCGTGCCCACCCCTTTTATTTGCCACCGTGGTACACGACATCCCAATTAGCTACCTGATCAGGATTTGTTTTTATCGGCTCATGGGCCGTTCACTTTGGCTTGCCACCGTTCTTGGTCGCCTTGAGGCCTAAGGACGTCCAATTTTGCTGCGTTTTGTGTAAAAAGCTATGCCTCTTCGGCCAGCTATGGTCCACTTCGGGACCTATTCTACACCTTCAAGGTGCAAGAGGGGGGGCATGGCCACGCGCCCTCAGGATCTGCCACCGTCTGTGCCGCCCCCTGCCTGCGTAATTGAGCGTGGTGTGACATGACCTTGCGTAGCACATGGCATCCCATGCTGAACCAACGTTCTTGCTCGGTGGCATAATAACGTCATATTTACATCGTTAGTGATGGTACGCCTTTAAGGAACTCTTTTGTGAAACCTTTGTTATTTGCCATGAATATCGTACGTTGAATGTAAAGAAATCACTTAAGACTATGATTTTGAGTACTTTAACGCCGTAACGTTTTAACCGTTGTTTCCGTAGTGTAGTGGTTATCACGTCCGCTTCACACGCGGAAGGTCCCCGGTTCGATCCCGGGCGGGAACAGGTTTTCCTATCTGCGCTAGATTTTCCAGATTGTGCGAGGGTGTGCACCAATTATGTTAGTCGTTTTTGGCAACTTCCAAACCACCCACCCTGGCTACACTCTGGTAACTCCGTTTCGCTGGGGAAGCCATGATTCCTTTGTGTCAAGCGTCAGGGGCTGCGCCGCGAATTTTGAGTCAGGGGCAGAATTTTCTAGGCGGCCTATTGAAAAAATGGGCCTCTTCGCAGGGGACCTGCTGGGCAGTGCGTTACTCAATAAACAGGCTCGCCGAGGAAATGTGTGCTCTATCAAATGGTTACATGAATCATATATAAATAAAAATAAATGTTGACTATTCAAAAATCTAGAATGGAAGAGAGAGGGGGGTTTCCGTTTATTCACCCAAGGGTCTTACTATCATAAGACCGGGCCTCTTAATCCAGAACACAGTGCTCCAGATTCACGATGGGGCCTCTAAAATCCAGCCGAAACAGAACGCAGGGGATCTCGGAAACAGGCCGTCGCGTTATCCCAATAAGGGATCTTGTTATCCCAAAACAGATCATTCTGATTCGGAATCTCGGCCATCTGATCTATGAAAGAGCCTAATGCTCCAAAAATAGGACCTGCTGACTATACAGGGAGGCCTAACTCAGAACAAGGACCTCCTAGCTTCGTAACGGGGCCTCCCGAGCCAGCTGTGGGACCTCATTAATACAACACTGGGTCTGTTGATCTAGAGAGAAGGCTACAGGTGGTCTCATGATCCGGAAAACGA